TTACTTGTGTTCCAAACTCCCAACAGGTATGTTGTGTATTATTTATTCTCATGCATGCAAGTAACCACTCTCTGCTATATTGAGTTTCTAATAGGTTATGGGCCCAGGCCAGATTAAGAAATGAGGATAAATAATCTAGTGACTAGTTAAGTTAGTTTGTTTATTTAATTCTATTTGTAAATTTTTAGAATTACTTTAACCAAAATTGACCACATGGTTATGTTAGGGTTAGCCAAAGCACATGGTTGCAAAAGCTTAACTAGTACAAATATTTTTGACTGTTAATTATTTTGGGCAAATATTTCTTTGAGAATAAAATTAATTCAATAGAAAGTTTATTTGAATTTATCTCAAATTATAATTTTTTTTTTTTTTTGTCTCTTGTTGATTAAAGTTAAAAAAGGAAAAATGCCAGGGGGAGAAGGTTCATTTAGTCATAAACAATTGAGTGGAAGGGAAAATTACATGGATTGGAAATTTTCCATGAAAATGCATCTTATTAAATTAGATTTATGGGCTTATGTAGAGGGTACAAAAAGAAGATCCAGTAAAGGATATCAAAGCTTTGTCATATATAGTTGAAGGGGTAAGTGAAATTATTTTCAATGATATAAGGGATTTAACAAGTGGAAAGGAAGCTTGGAAAGTATTAGCTGAAACATATGAGGATAAGGGAATCACAAGAAAGGTTTCATAATAATAAAACATTAGTGAATACCCGTTTATACTGATTGTAAGGATATGTCTGACTATTTACATAGGGCGATTTCATCTTATCAGCAGTTAAAATCTACTGGTGTTAAACCTGATGAAGAATTAATTGCAGGAATAATTTTAGCTAATTTACCTGATAGGTTTGAACCTCTTATAATAGCTTTGAAAAATTGTGGTGAGGCAATAACAGTTGACAATGTTAAAAATCGCTTGTTAGCCGAAGATTCAAAACCCCTAGTCAATGAAAGTAAGGAATATGCATTTGTTAATAAAAATATCGGAAGCAAAAGTTACTTTAAAGGAAAATGTTTTAAATGAAATTTGTTTGGCCACAAAAGCTCCGATTGTCAGAAGTCACCTCTCAAAAAGGGTAGATATAATGAAAACAAGTTTAACAAAAAGTCTAATGTTGGATTAAAACATAAAAAAGGGGAAGAAGCTTATGTAGTGGAAATTAGTGTAGCTAATTCTAATCCACATCCCAATATTTGGTACATGGATTCTTGTGCTTCTTACCACATGACTCCACATAAAGAATTATTAGATGATTATCAGGATGCTAGTATTCATCAAATAAAAACAGGAAGTTCAGTAATAGAAGTAGAGGGTAAGGGTAAAATAACTTTCCTCTTATCTAGAAATAAAAAAAAGGGAGTCTGTAACTTTTAGTAATGTTTTACACGTTCCAAAGTTAACAGCCAATTTGCTGTCCATTAAGTATTTAAATAAAGTATTTGGAATGGTTAGTACTTTTACAAGTGAAAGATGTTTTGTGTATGATGGTAAACATTTAGTTGCTACTGGAACAGGTATGGGAGATAATTTGTATTCTCTTGATTTATGTAATGAGTGGGCTTTAATTACTGATAAAAATATTTCAAATGAATTATTACATAAAAGAGTGGGCCATTTAAGTGAAGGAGGAATGACCAGATTAAAAGATATGGTCGAAGGTTTTACATTTAACGGAAAATTGTTAAATTGTGTGTCATGCATTAAAGGCAAAATGCATAGACAACCATTTCCCAAGGGAAAAGCTAAGCGTGCAAAAGAGTTATTAGGCATAGTACACAGTGACCTGTGTGGGCCTATGAATGTTACATCAATTGGTGGTTCTTGCTACTTTATTAGTTTTATTGATGATTTGTCGCGAATGACTTTTGTTTATTTTTTGAAAAATAATCTGAAGTTTTTGAAAAATTCAAAATATTTCAAGCATTTGTTGAAAGGCAAACTGGCAAATCAATCAAAATCTTACACTCAGATAATGGTACTGAGTATGTAAACAATGAGATGGATAACTATTTAGCATCAAATGGAATTCAGCATCAAAAATCTATTCCATTTACACCAGAGCAAATGGGTGTAGCTGAACGTAGTTACAGAACTCTTGTAGAGCGAGCACGATCAATGTTGGTGGAAACTGCAAATCACTGTAAAAATATATCTCCAACTATTGCAGTTGCAGGTATGACCCCTTATGAAAAATGGTATGGGGATAAGCCAAATTTAGAATACTTGAGAGTATTTGGATGTCGTACATTTGCTCACATTCCAAAACAAAAACGTAAAAAGTGGGATATAAAAACAAAGGAATTAATGCTTGTTGGGTACTGTCAGGATAGAAAAGGCTATCGATTAATAGATCCCAAAACTTATGAAATAATAAATGCACGAGATGTACAATTTTTGGAAAATGAAATGTACTACAAAAAGGCAAGTAATATGCCAAAATTCTATGATGAATCCTCATTCAGTGGGAGCGTGATTACGACATTTTCAGATACTGAGAATGCAATAGCTGATGATCAGAACGGTGAATTGGAAGGGATGGTTAATGATAATACTCAGTCTGATCATGAATTAGTTAATGCTAGTATTAAATCTAATCATGATGAACATAATACTGCTCAAAATGATAGCCATGATAACAGTAGTGTAGTTGATGAGCTACCTATGTTGACTAGAAACAGAAAACTTAGATTCCCAAATAGTTATCAGGACTTTGACACACACGGGATGCCAGAAATGCCAATGCCAAATTTAGATCGAATGTGCTTTGTTAAAGCTTTGGCAGCAGCAACAAATGGTGTGTATTCTGAACCGAAAACCATTGATGAAGCATTAAGGGGCAATGATGCAAACCATTGGAAGGATTCTATATGGGAGACTATATTAGGCCATATTAAAACAAAACATGGGAAATAACAGATAAACCTTATGATAAGAACATTGTAGATTGTAAATGGGTTTTCAAAATTAAATGTAATTCAGTAGGCAAGATTGAAAGATATAAAACACGTTTAGTTGCTAAGGGCTATTCTCAGATTGAGGGAATAGATTATACTGAAACATTTGCACCAGTTGTCCGATACGTAACATTAAGAGTTTTATTAGCTTATGCAGCTATATATGATTGGGAAATTGACCAAATGGATGCTGTAATGGCTTTTGTACAGGGAACTCTAAATGAAGACATTTATATGAAAATTCCAGACGGTTTCAGTGAATTTTACAAGCAAAACTTAAAGGGAAAGGTCCTAAAATTAAACAAAGCATTAGATGGTTTAAAGCAAGTGGTAGACTATGGTACCAACTGTTAGAAAAGGGTTTAATAGAAATGGGACTGAGGCAAAGTTCTTTTGATAGTTGTGTCTATATTAAAATAAATGAAAATAAAGATCTTGTTATTGTTACTATTTATGTTGATGACTTACTCATTTTTAGTAATAACATAGAACTTAAAAATTGGGTAAAACAACAACTTAAAGAAAAATTTGAAATGAAAGACTTGGGACCAGCAAATTATTGCTTAGGAATTAAAATTGAACGAGATAGAACTAAAGGGTCCATTAGCCTTAGTCAAACTCAGTATGTAGAGAGTATGCTTTGCAAATATAATATGCATGAATCTCGTGGTGTAAAAACACCATTAGACCAAAATCAAGTGTTATCTAAACTGCAGATACCAACTAGTAAGGAACAAAAGCTACCTGTTCCTTATCAGGCTGCCATTGGGAGTCTTCTTTATGCGGCTCAAGCAACACGGCCAGATATAACTTATGCTGTGAATTTCCTTAGCCAGTTCTCCAATAATCCGGCAAGGGTTCACTGGAATGCTGTCAAGCGCATCATGCGGTATCTTCGAGCCACTACAGATGCTACATTGTCTTTTTCAAAGGACTATAGTGCTGATGTCCTTGGTTACAGCGACTCAAACTATGGAGGTGATGCTGGGGATCGACGATCAACCACTGGATATGTTTTCCTCATCGGAGGTGGTGCAGTGTCATGGTGTAGTAAGCGTCAACCAACCATTGCAGCAACTAGTACAACAGAAGCCAAATATATGGCTCTTTCTGCAGCTACTAAAGAAGCCATATGGCTAAACAAAATTGTTAAAGAACTTGGGATTATTACTGCAAAGCCAGTATTATTATACTGCGATAACAACAGTGCTATTAATCTCAGCAAAAATAGTGTGTATCATGGTAGATCAAAACATATTGATATACAACATCATTTCGTGCGAGAAGCTGTGAAACTTCAGCACATTGACATACAATATAAGACTACTAATGATATGATTGCAGACTTTTTGACAAAAAATGTAAACAGTGCAAAACATGAAATGTGTGCAAAGATGATGGGTTTAAAATGAAGACTAATGTAATTTAATGTTTTATTATATGTATGTGTGCTGATGTAATTTCTCATTGTATTTAATTAGGATGATGATATTTAAACCTAAAGTGGGAGTGTAAAAAGGTTAGCTTTAAATATGTTCTTGGCCCATAGATGGCGCCACTGTTTTTTATACTTCTATACAACTGTGCACTCCAATAAAACTTTACTTGTGTTCCAAACTCCCAACAGGTATGTTGTGTATTATTTATTCTCATGCATGCAAGTAACCACTCTCTGCTATATTGAGTTTCTAATAAAAACAAAAACATAACCTTCGATGCCCAGCTACATCGTGGCCTGAACTTGAAAATGCCGTAAAAATGTGGGTGATAGATAAGAGGAAATCTGGGATACGTGCTTCAAACAAAATGATAATCTATGAGGCCAAAGGATTTGCAGAAAAACATGGGAATCAGAACTTTTCAGGGTCTGAGGGCTGGTGCTACAGGTTCATGAAAAGGCAAGGCTTATCAATGCGCACAAAAACAACTATTGCACAGAAAATGCCAGCAGATTATGAAGAAAAAATACTGTCATTTCATAGGTTTGTTATAAATGCACGCAAGAAAACTTCTTTTGAGCTTGGTCAAATCAGAAATATGGATGAAATTCTACTCACATTTGATGTACCATACAACAAGACTGTGAGTGTTAAAGGGTCTAAATCAATAACCATAAAAATCACTGGTCATGAAAAAACCCGATATACGGTAGTTCTAACATGTTGTGCTGATGGCACAAAACTACCGCCGTTTTTCATATTCAAAAGAAAAACCCATCTGAAAGAAAAACTTCCAACGGGTGTAATTGTTCATGTTCATCCGAAAGGCTGGATGGACAAAGCTGGAATGAAACTGTGGTTACAGAATGTATGGGCAAGACGACCTGGTGGACTCTTAAGAAAACCCTCTCTTGTTTTGTATCAGTTTAGCGCCCATAGAACTGAAACCACAAAGAATAAAGCGAGAGAATTAAAAACCCAGATAGCAGTCATTCCTGGTGGACTGACTAGCCAATTGCAGCCTTTAGATGTATCGATGAATAAACCATTTAGTGAAAAAGTGCGAGAACGATAGAACAAGTGGATAGGAGAGCCACATCACGCCCTCACACCCTCAGGTAGAATGAAGTGGCCCTCTATTTCACAAGTGTGCTAATGGGTGAAAAGATCTTGGGAGGACGTAAAGGCTGAAGTAATTGTTAAGTCCTTTAAGAAGTGCGGAGTCAGTAATGCTCTTGACGGAACTGAAGACGACGCATTATTTGAAGAAGGTGATACCAGTGATGACAGAAACAGTAGTGATGACGATATTCTCGTTTTCGATGAAGATGATAGTGAAAAGGATTTTTATGGTTTTGAAAGTGATTAAAGTCTAATTTCATGATAGGCAACATTTTCCTTGAATCTGTGTTTTTTGTTCTTTCTGCTTTATTTTGTATTATGTTTGATTGCTTGCCGTTTATTCATTTATTCATTATTGAAATTTACATATCATGTTCAAAATAGCTTGCCGTTTGTTAATTTTCTTTAATAAAAATATGTTTGGTAATTGCATTGAATGATTGTTTATTTGGCTTTAACGAAAGGTGAGAACTAAAAGAAACCACATTTTAAGTTATTGTGGACTATTGAAACTTTTTTCCCTTGTGTGTGGCCTGCTAAATAAGGGTGCGTCTTATATGCCAGTGCATCTTTTATGCCGTCAAATACCGTGTATTGCGAGTAATTTTTTTCAAGTTATGAAAATCTCACCTACATGTATTTTCAAATCAGATTTATTTAATGTATATGGATATGTTAAAAAAGCGCACTTTCACACGTATAAAATGTACATTAATACATACATAAAAATGAAATAAAATTTGAAAATAATGCAATTTAGGAATTAGTGTATTAAAAAATAATTAAAAATTTCCTCTGATCTCATTTCTTACGTTATATGCATTTATTTTAGTTTTGTAATATGCACTTATTTTATTTCGGTATATGCATTTACTAGTCTTTGTTGTTAAATTTTGTCCGATTATTTGAATATGGCAAAGCAAACGAGATCTGTCTGTCCAAAGGATAGACCAGGGTTTGTATAGTCCTTAATAAAGGTCCTTAAAACTCCTTAAATTTTTTAAAATCAATTTTTGGTTCTAAAAGTTCTTAATTTTGGCCAAAATCAGTAGAAGGTCCTTAATTTTAATCATCTGAAATTTCTCTCTGTTTTTACGGCTGCCATTTTGAGCGTGAATTAGCATTTTGGAGGAATATTTTTGGCAATTCACTGACGTATATGGTTATCTTTTGAGTGGGTTCATGGGTTATAATTTGTTTCTATTTCTAATATAAATGATGGGATACTCGAGTTTCTAAGCAAAGAAGTAAAACATAATCATTTTGAAATTCCTTTTTTCTAATAAAGAGCTCTTAAACAACTTTTTGCTTTTGGGGTTGTGAATTCTTTTATTAAATGGTTCTAAATTCGACAACTTGTCAACATTTTGGCGATTTTAAGATCAGTTTCTATAGAAAATTTTTAATTCCGAGATTTGAGAATTTTTCAGCAGTTATTTTAAAACATCATAACATTGATAAATTTCATTAAAATAATGGTAATATATTCTAATTATATTTAAAAAATAACATTAAAATAAACAATTTTTATTTTTCGCTGTCATATTATAAGTTTCATTTTGGCAACTTATTATGCAATATTTTAAATCTGAAAAATAAACAAGGTATATAGCTATAAAGCAAAATTAGCTATGTAATTAATTAAAATTTCTTCTTTTTAATTTTTTCATAGTAAGCGTTTTTCCCATGTTATTGTCTCAAATTATTCAAAATTCTCAGAATGTGCATCAATTTTCTCTATAAAATTAATTTTACACTTTTTCCTTCCCCCTTTTTTTTTTTTTTTTTCCAAAATATTTCTGGCTTTTTGCTGTTACAGAACTGGTTGGGATAACTTTTCTTTATTTTTTACATTGCATTACTACTGATACTAGAATATGAACATGTTTATCTTCCCTTTATTTTCTCTACTTTTCACTAGACAAAAGCATGGAAAATATCAAAAATGCTTCTAATCTTATTACTTGGGCATTCATTATAGAAAGAGATTTTTTTTATTAATAAAGAAATTGAAAACTTACAATTTAAAAGATTCATCTAATGTGTCTAAATGCATCGTATACAGAGCTGGTGCTATGCATTTTCCCACCTCATGCAATCTCTGTGTATCCTAAATTCTGCTGCCTAGTGCCTATCTAAATTCTCCTTCCAATGCTTGCTCTAAATTCTAAAAGTTTTGCCATTTCTAGATTTTATTGTTCTGTGTGTCACTAAATTCTAAAAATTCTGCCACACCTGCTCTGTAACCTGCCTTTACCATATATATTCATATTTCTTCTGAATGTTCATATTACTAAAGAAATAAAATTAGCTGCTTTTTCTGTACATTCTAAATGCATTTAGTGTTTTTTAGAATAAAAGAAATCCTTAATTAAATCCAAAAATTCTAAAATTAGAAGGAAACACGTTGAAGAAAGAAACCGAATACATAAAGAAAATTATTCTTCAAAGATACATGCAGTTATTATTATGTTAATTACCCAATTGTTTATCATTTCAGCCTTTACTATAACTTCCCATTTCTGTTTCCTCATATGATAGAGTTACTGAGCCAGAATAAATTAAAATTAAATTGTATTATCTTTGACCACTAGTCCACATTTTTAGTTTGAATTTGACTATTCTTGTTTAATTGCGTCACCGTGAGCTGTAATTGACTTTGTTAGCATCAGAACATGCCTTTATGTTCTAAGTTCTTTGTCTGACATTATAGTTACTTTCAGATACAGTGATAATTTGCTACACGTCTATCGGGGGGGGGGCTATTTAACTTTTACCAGATCAAGTAAACCCTCATAGGTGCATTGTGGAGAGGTTGACAAGTTAGGAGATAAAGCACGCAGAAACTAGCGAGAACATCGATTTCCATATTGAGACAAATTTCTAATTATTGTCACAAAAGATTGATAATTAAAGAGAAGGAAATCGATATAAACTAGCCAAAATGTTTGGGAAGGCTTGTAGAGACATTAGGTATTTTTGAAAGCAGGAAAGATAAAAAAATTAACAACGCCTTCACCGGGAATCGAACCGCGGACCTCTGGAATAACCGCTAGCAGTGTGCAAACCACTACACCACGAAGGGTCACCAAGAAGGTGGGAGAAATACCTTATATACTCCCCCTTTTAAAGGGTGTCTGAGGTTTTTAGGGAATCCAATTGCCAAATCCTTTGTGTGGAGAACCATCATCCAACACCCATCAAGTAACCATCAACACCACCAGGAAGTAAAACTTATTCTTTGCATCTACTGGAGACTTAAATTAATATAAAACAGCTTATCCACCTCTGATGCGTTTTAATGGCTTATTGGAACCTTAAAATATGTTAAACTGGGTTACAACCCTAGAAACTGTACACAAAGCTTATGACATTAACTTGCATCTGACAAGCCAGAGCTTGACAACTAACTTTCAACAACTTGCCAACCGTGGCCCTAGAATCAAGGTTTGTTTTCAGGTTTGTTTCAATTCAGCAGGTCCTCTCTATAGGCAAGCAGCAGCAGGGATAAAAATAGTCAATCTTTTGTTATGGAATCATGCTGATTATGAATCTCACTTCTCATTTTAACCTATGCCGTTTGACCTAAAATCTACCCTACTATTTGCTAAACCTCTAGAACTGACCAAGTATGAGACATTTTAAATAAATAAATAAATAAATAAAATTAAAAAAAAAAAAAAAAACAGCATAAAGCTAACTATTAGTAAAACGTAAATGTCACTTATCTTCTTTTAAATATGTCCAACAATTATAAGTGTAAAATATTTTATGCTACTTGATAAACTGCATGAAGTTTATTTTATTCTCAAACTTATTAATAATTATGTTAGTTAATTCATGTTTAGTAATAATGCATACTACTTAGGTATCTATTTTATTTTTAGGATGGTATTACAAAAGTTAAATTCAGGCATAGAATAATATTTTTAATTGAATTTATTCAGTTCCCATTTGCTCATAGGTCCTTAATTTTTTCCATTAATGGTCCTTAAAAGTACTTAATTTCCATGTGCAGAAATGTGTACGAACCCTGTAGACTAATCGCCGTGGTGGGCTCTCTAAATAAAACTCTCTTATATTCATGTCACACATGGGAAAACTATGAAACACAACCATGCAGATAATTTATTCGTCTGGGTTGACGTAACTAAATCTCAATATAACACAGAATTACACTGATAAAGGGGAGTGTTTATAACACTGAATTTATATACTAAACGCAATATACATTAATTGTATATATAGAAAAACTTAGCAGATTTCGCTGGGAATGTCTGGTGGCAAAATCCTTATTATATACATCCTTATTTTAAATTCATCGCATACCTCGTGTTTCGACTCTTACCTCAAAACACATATAATCCACAAATAACTTAATTTTTTTATTTAAATTTAATAACTTCCCTATAGAAATTTCTCAGGATCTTTTCAGTTATAGGATAACATGCGCAAAACAATTTTCTCTATACAAATATATGCGCTAATAAGAAAATGCACTTTCAACAAGAGCTCATGTCTATGATGGTACAATTTTTCTAAACATAAAAAATTTGTTGCTTAAATTTATTTTTTTCATTAAACAAAAACCAAATAGAATGACACATTATTAAAAATGTTTTATTCACACTCTGAAAACAAGACCATTGCTATAAAAGCGAAGAAAAAAAAGGAACAGGTCATTTATTTAACGAGAGCGAACTTTGACGCAAAAATTTTAAACACAAAATATTTTAAAATCGTTTGGTTTATTTGATTGTGGCAAAGCACTCGGGTTATTTTACGTAAGGGGAAGGATGCCTTCGTGGAGTACTTTCTAAGGGAAACCGCCTTGTGTACACATGGCACATGAGAAAAACACAGAAATATCAATGCAGCTAGCCCTTTCGCCGGGATTATAACCCCGGATAGAACTAGCAGTGTTCCGTTGTGGGCTAGCTTGGGTAACGGAAAAGAGCAAAATTTCATAATAGACACAAAGTGATGGCTTGTATAATACGAAATTATTGCCATTTCAATAACAAAAATTGACTTTGCGAGATTGTATTTTATTTTATTCAGCTCATGATAACTTAACACGAGGACTATTAATATAATTGTAGTTTGACCCGGATTGAAACCCCTGTGACTGGCTCACCACATGGGCGTTTTCGTGAATTTACCTATATGTAACACAAATACAAGATAGTTTTCCTTCGAAAGTCTTTCACGAAACATACTTTCTTTAGACAGATCGCCTTTTGTGTGTTTTATCATAATCTAACAAACCAAACTAAACCTAATCCTAAGCGAGGACTAGTACTCAAAAGAGACTTCGTGAAGGACTTTTTAAATGAGATTGGCTTATTAGGCAGCAAAAATCCACGAAAACTGCCAGGTAGCCAGCCCATTCGCCGAGATTTAAACTCGCTTCAGACTGCCAATTTCTACTAGGTCGCTGCGGGCTTTTGTTGAATCTTCATCAAAATCTTTACAAAGTAATCGCGAACGCAGAGTTATTGGTTTTTAATTTGATTTGGTTTTATGTGACTAAGGCAAAGCCTCGAGGGCTATCTGCCTTAAGAGGAGGGATGACTTCGGGAAGGACTTTCTAATGGACACTCTCTCCTATACATGTTACACTTGGCGAAACCATGAAAACGCCCATGCAGCCAGCTCATTTACGGGTTCAAACCTCAGACCGAACTACAACGACTTTACCGCTCGGCCGCTGGTGGGCCAAAATTATTGAGTACCAAAGGATTAATTAAGTTAGGAACTTAATAACTTTCATTTGTAGTGCTGCTATCAGCATTGACATTTGGAGAAGCTTTTTTAATGTAATGAATTTAATTCGTTAGCTAATTGTTCCTCTGACTAATTTTTTGTGCGCAGTATATGTAACCCTTCTGTGCACTAACTGCTTTACTTAGCTTACACTCCGTTAATTTTATGCAATTTTATGCCGGTAGATTTCTTTCCAAAAAATATGTACTTCCCCCCCCTAGATTTTAAAACTATTTTGTATTTCAAATCTTAATAATAAAATTTTTAAAAACAAATATTTCTAGAAATTTTTTCAGCATATGAATTTGTTCGATTTAATTGAAGTTTTCAAGTAGAATATTTTCCTTTCGACATCCAAGAAATTTTTATACGTCAGTTCGCGCTTATAAGGAACACACAGCTATATATACGAATAGAAAAATCAGGCATACTGAAAGCACAGTTTTAACATTTCAAAATCTAAAAAGGAAAAATATACCATTAAAAACACCCACACTTGAAATACGAGAGCAAACAAGATAGGTGTTTGCAACATTTTATATTTTATCCTGTTCTTGATGAATCAGAAATTGTAGTCAACTTTTAATACATTGTATGATATATGATTTATTAAAAAGTACGTCTTACGTTACAATTGTTACTTTTTCCTGTTTCTTCTAAATTTCGGTAATGTACTATAACAACGAGCGATTCTGTTTGACTTTCATTTGTATAAATATCCACAAGGCAAATTGTTGTAAAACGATTCACAAGCTTGCAGTCGTTGGAAAGATAATGCACACCTGCTGTCTGACAATGATTCTTCATTCTCAGGACCCTTCCGAAAAGTGTTCTTTTCAAACATGCTTCACACTTTATAAAGACCTTTGTGTCAACTGACAGCCGCCTGCAGAAAAGTGGGGAAAGGAAGACCTGATCGCATCGTCTAAACACGTCTTAAGCAATTTTTGCGAAATTTTTGTGTAATTGGGCATTCGTAACATCATTGAAATTCATTTTTTTTGTGAAATTTGAACACTCTAAGTAATTTTCTTAATTTAAAGGAAAAAAGGAAACTCTGAAAACGTTTAAACACGTCTTAAGCAGTTAAAGGGTCAAACTTGAAATATAGGAAAAAACCTGCATTCAGGATTTCTTATCTGGCGGTTAAAATCTACTCCAAAGTACCAACCCAGCATTACTATCCTTGTGATCTGGCAAGTGTTGGCATTGAACAAGACACAATATCATTAATTTATCTGACCTTCAAATAACCACTTCTCAGAATGCTGCCATTCAAGCATTTATTTTTCAAATTATAATTGCAGTTGTTTAACAGATAGCAACTTAAACTAATAAACTTATTTTTTAATAAGTTCTATTTTTGTTTTATTTTTAATAATATATAATTCGTATAATTTGTAATACATTTTAATGCTTTATTTTTAAATTTTTCTAGCATTATATAATCCAATTTGTAATATGTGCAACATTTATCATTATGAATATTTGCGCTACTTTTGTAATTAATGAGACATTTCTAACATCACATGCTTTATATGCCTTGATGCATAGTAATGATTACTGTGTCGAGTTCAAGATAATTTAGCTATTTCATTAATAATGGATTCTTAGATGTTTTCTTAAAACTTTTTGTAGTATACCAAATTTAATGTAATTTTTTGCAATTAATTTTGAATTCAAGAATCAAAAATAATAATGGAAGGCTTTTTAAGACTAATTGTACGAACTTACTATTCATCATTCTTGTCATCGAGTAGTATTACAAAAGCATTTTTTGTACGCATTGTTAATCTAAAATGTATGTATTTTTGTCATAACATGGTAAAATAGCTGTAAACGTGGGACTTTTCAAATTAATGCAAAGTTTCTGTACCTAATTGGTGTCTATAGTAAGGACGCAAATGTGGAATTATATTCTTCAACCATTTAGCTATGTAAGGGGATGTGTGGACATTTTATGTACCAAGTGTTATTTCCCAATTCGAAGCTAGGCAAATCTAATGTATTCACTAATATCTGCTTTTCCTAAACCACGCTGATTATTTCCATCTTGTATTTTGGGATGGCAGTTACTGAATTTGTAGTAGTAGTATTTTCAATAAGTTTACTGTCTGTAACTCATTGTAGGGAAACTATCTACTATGTCTGCATGTTGATAATTGCTGGGCTTTAGCTTTTCACATCAACTTTCCTATTACTGTAGATGCTTCTGCTTTCAAAATTTTGTTATTCTTGAATGAACAACTGTAGGTGAGTCAGAACATTCCAGAAACCCGAGCTCCAGATTCTGCTAAGGTGGACCTGACTGTAAGCTTTGAAGATGTCATAGATGCTGGACTGTGAGTATGCAGGAACTGTATTCTACAGCAGTCTCCAGGGATGTGAAGATTGTCATTATGATTATTTGACTGAACTGAGAATGCTTCACTGTGTTTCCAGGTTCCTTGTAGTGATAAACTGGACTGCAAGCACTTTACATTGTCAAATTCCTTTCTTGAAGATGAAAATTTTAAGCTATACATCATTGCAGTTCATGAGCATTATAGTGACATTTATTCACACAGCATTAAGTGTTCCTGAATACTACCTCTTATTGCATTTTGCCATGTCATTTAAAAATAATAAAAAAGGGAAACTAATATCTAATCAAATTCTGTGGACCCTTTCCATGCAAAGTAAAATAAGTAAAAATACAGCAAATAAAGTTAGATAAAAATACAATTAATTCAGGATATATCAAATTAGAAACATAAAATATGTATAGGCCTTAAATTTAAAAAAATAATTATATTATAAGAATTACAAAACATATTTTTTCACTTTTTAAGTATACAGAAGATAACATTCCCATTGCATATTCATAAGATATCCTATAAAATGTTTTGGTATTCCACTTGGGATAGCTCTACTGGTAATATCCCTATTGATAAAACTATCTGAAATTAACCCATTAACGAGCCCGCCCCTCGGAACAAAAAGCTTTGAAAATGGCTGTGTTGTCAGTCAACAAACCCTCAAAAAAAAATTGCTTTCGTTTTCTGAAATCTCTTTAAGATGGCCCAGCCTAGGGCAGAATGTTTGCTTCCCCTTAGTGTGATGGATAAGCCATAAAATTCTCTTCCCGCTATTGAATGGCAAGAAGTGCTTGTTGCGTTTAATTCGTCTCCCCCCTCTTTCTTTGTACTTGTAGCTTGTAGACTTGTATCTTTTAATATGTGACGTCCGAATTTTCCGAAATCTTTTTAGAATTTTAGCTTCCAAGCTTGTAAATTTTCAATTATTCGACATGTTTTATTGGGCAGTATTTTAAGAAAGATCATTATTTATTTTGTTACACAATTTTTTTACTAGTACTTATCTATTTTATTTAGTTTTAGTAGGCCAATTTATTTTGGGAAATTAAATTTTAATCCATTCTTTTACAGACTCAGTTTTCATCATATTATAAGTCCATATATATTTACGATGAGAGTAGAATATTTATCAATAATTTTTGGAAAATTTGGCATATGTATTTATATTTTAGCTTTGAATTTTTTCCACAAGTTGTTCGTTAACAGTCGAGCTCATCATCGTAAACGCTTGATCTTTTCAGCATGGAATTGGCAAGCAATAATCTTCCTAATGTTTTTTTGGATTTTATAGCAATTTCTAGAATTTTGGCGGTTTTCTCCAAATATTTTGTTAAGTTTAGCTATTGTACAGTTGCTGCTAATGTGGGCTTTAAAACCAAAAATGTATTCCTTCATTGATTTGAGAGATAGCATTTAGAATTTAAACAGAAGTTTAAATGCATTTGATACAATCTTACCACAGACTAGAAAGAATTATTTCTTTGTGTTGGATGGATTTTCTCACTTTTCCACATTTTATACATTAAATGCATAAAGCAGACACACACAAAAATCCCTTTTGATTCTTACGTTTTCAGTTAAAGAAATTGTAAAATATATATATTTTTTAACTTTGAAAATGTATTTGCTCATTTATGCATAAATTTAAAATCATGGGACTTACAAATTATATGACTAAATTGCAGTATTTAAATTAATAACTGAAATTATAGTACTGAAATGACATAGAATATAAGGATAATTATAGTGAATTTAAATAAATTTCTATTCTATTGTAGTCTATTTAAATAAATTTCTACTTTCATTTAAAATATTTCATTATTAGCACCTCCCACAGTTTTATGTAGTCATAGGATTTTCCGAATTCTATTAGGTCCTTAACATAATTTCAAGGCCTAATAGAAAAGTGATAATATGGGAAGACTATGTCTTAAGTACCAATTGCCAAGTATTTGTAATTAAATAAAAAATAAATATTGAATACCAGACACTTTTTTATTTATTTTTAGTCATATAACAAAAGATAAACATGAATACTATTACATCTAAGAATTATTTAGTAAATTATTTTGCTAATTTTATGAATGAAGAAACATGGTAAAAATGTTTTAATGACTGAATTCACCGTTAAAAATCAAACAAACCCCAAAATGGCATAAAATGTTTTGATTAAATATGATTTGAATGAGCTTTCCAATTCTGTTTTGAGTGATATAAATTAGGATATAAATATTATTAAATTAGGATATAAATTATTATTAGAAATAATTTTTATGTTATAACTTAGCAAGATATTGTTTACCGTTAAAAATTATATCTAAAAGAATTAAATTTTGTAAAAGAATAAAAAATATAATTAACTGTTCCATTTTGTCCTTTATTCATCTAATTATATAAAACTGGAATCTGGCTAGGGAATTTACGACTTGTATATGAACTAAAAATTGGTATTTTGACAAAACTTGTCAGAACATAAAAAGCGTATATTCTGTGATATTAGTGTATTAATCATACTTCTGTATACATAAATGCAGTTTATAATTAGCAGCATAAGTATCATAATGGATTTTATTAAAACGATGAAAACTGAATGCATGAATACATTATCAAACTACGGCTCTTTATCCCGTTAAGTATTGCTTGGATTGTAACCAACACAAGTTTTATTTTTGAAATATTATTCCAAATAAAACAGGAAGCATTAAACGATATGCGTTTTAAACAGTTTTACTTTTTCATATGCATAGAAATGTTAAGTAGCATTAAATTGTACTTCATTTCTGAAACTTCTGCGGTACTATTTTTAGAACAGATCAAGGACTTTAAAGAGCAAGTACATTTTAGTAATATGCAATGTTAATGATATAGTTCAAATGATATTGAACAGGTGTATGATTTGTAACTGGCACTGGAAGAAGCAAAATTTATCTGATGATCCAGTCTTCATTTAATGAATTAATAGAGAATGATTCAGGGTGAGCTGCTGGTCAGCATGTTAGTTACATATGAAAGCTAAACTACTTTCTTTTATTCCCACCAACAGTGAGGTAGCATATCCACTGGGGCAGTTAGCATAGGCAAACTACTATTTGCTTGTACAAAAACTGTATTTAAAGCTTACAGCTTATTTTAAATAAATTTTGTATACTGAATACAGCTCCCCTGAAAAGCGCTGTTTTCTGTCTTATTTGTTTTAGATTTCAGATTAAAGGAAAATAATCAATTCTGTCTCTCAGAGACGGGATTCCTGCCTGTTTGTTTTTCGTGGTTTTCTACATGTGTAACCCAGTTTCACTGAAAGGGCTCCATGAAGGCCCATAGCTCTCGTATGCTTTTTTATATTTAAATTACCCTATCCCTCATACTACAACAACTATCACACTAAATTAGGGTAGAAGATTTTGAAACAAGATTTTAATTAAGATGCCGGATTCCCACTGGCAGAGCATCTAAAAATCACTAAGCACAGCTAGCTCGACACGGGTTAAAATCCTGGCCAATGAGCTGGTTGCATGGAAGTTTTCTTGGCTTTTTTTACAAGTGGAACGAGAATATAAGTCAGATCCTCTTAGGAAGTTTCCTTCCTCTTCGGCAGATAAACAATTGCGTGCTTCGCTGTAATCCAAATGCATTAAACCCGTCTGTATTGACAGCTATCATTCTATCTTTGTAAAGAAATATTAAGATAAAAACATGTAAATATCAAATTTGCTTTAGACTGCAAATATTTTTAAGCAATTCATGTTTTAAGCAGCAGAGCTTTTTAATGGACTCATGAACAGCTGAAAATTGCAGCCCAGCTGGTATAGTGGTTAGTGTCGCTGACTGCCATATCAAAGGGTCCGGCTCAAATTTCAGAGAAGGATGAATGTTTGTAAATGTATAGTGTCTGTGCAGCATTGGGGTACTCTAAATATTCAGCGAGCCGAAAGTCCTCTGGAGAGTTTGATGTTAGGGCAACAACAACTGAAAATTGAGAAAAAAGTACCTAAAATCAGTATAAAACTCTACCAATTACTAAAGCAATCTAGCAAAACCTTTCCATCGGGCGATAAATTCTGCTCATATAAGAACAGTTGTATTTTTATAGTATTTATCAAGTTAAATTTATGAGAACCTACTCAAAGTTTGGTTTTTCAGAGCCTTCGAGATTCATCAGAATGGTGATAAGATCATTAAGTGTAGGAGAGGCAAAAAAAATTTTTTAATGAAATAATTGTTGAAAAATGCACGGAGTATAAGTAGTTATATAAATAATTAAAAATATGCAAAATTTCTTCCAATGACCTCTTTCAAACAGCATAACATTTCTGCAAAGAAGTAGCACATATTTAGTTCACTCATGGTATTTGGGGCTATGAACAGAAGGTTGTCTTTATGAACAGAAGATTTTTATGCTACTTCCTGATAAGCTATCGAGTTCACAATTTTGTAAGCATATTGATTGCAGATGATAATACAATACGGTAAAACAAATTTTATAAAATTCCATTAAATTTTTTTTCTAATTTAATGTTGACACGATTTTTGCACATATTTTCATTTGCAAGGCAAACTACAAATGTCAAAACTTTAACGTTTGCGCTGACGTAAAATATTCTTTTAATTGAAATTTGTATGATATTTTTAACATAACTTCTGATTTCTGAGTGAAAAGTCAGAAAATGTTTTCGATTATTTGAGGCATTTATTAGAAGTAAAAAAATTTTTATTCATTTTTGAAAAATGATTTTTCAATTGAAAATAAGTTATTAAGATTAAGAAGATAAAAATTTAAAAAGTTCTGTAACATAAGCTTTTATTCAAAACTCATAAAATTCTTAAGACAAAGGCAAAAAATAATTTATGGCATATTTTAATGGGAACAAGAGATTAATTAAACTCCTTTACAATATTCAATTTATATGCAATTTATATCAAAGATTATAAAAGTGCAGACACTTAAATAACGAAATCAAACTGTCGATTTCCAATGTCAAAAATAT